GCTATTCTAAACTTACCGCCAGCGCCTCCCCTTGGACTCAATTGCCTCTGCCCACCTATGGGTAAGGTATACAAGGAGGTCACCACTAGCGACCACGACAAGCCGTACTGAGAATCGCTAATCAACTGGTGGCCCTCTAGATACCACAAGAGCTGGCAATTAATAATGGTTTCCTTATTTTGGAGAACAAGGAGGTTATAGCTATAGCTTGGGCGATAGTTGGACGGATCAGAGCGATCGCCTTTTTAGGGATCGGATGTATCGAAGCGGCTCTTCCAGCACTTCGGGACAGTGCCGAGCGAGTACAGGTACCGGAAAAGGCGCGTTAAGACCGGAGCCAACAGACACAAGTACGCACACTGGGGGATACCATCCGGCCCGCCACTTATGAATGTCCAAGGAAGATAGTGCTTTGCGGACAGCACGTTGCCGGAATGTGATTTCCGGCTCGAAGAATCACACCGCGAAATGGTCGGTGGTGATCTTCCTTGGTCATCCAAAGTCGAGTTGGACGCGAAGAGACAGCCCAAAAGGTCGGCCTTCTCCTTCGCAGTGTGGGCCTGAGAGTCATCCTCCCTTGCAGTGGCGGATGGCGGGCTGACAAAAATTCCCTTGGACAGCTTTGGCGAGAGACCAGAAGGCTCGAGTCCCTAAGAGAGCTGGGCCAATCTCTCGCCAAATCTGGCAATGTGCTCTGACTTTGCCTTAGTGATTTCCCGTTTGAAGACCTGGAGGCTGAGTTATATGCTGTTTTAAGTTCCCTGGTATTGGCATCACGAGATTTCGCCGCTTCCGCCCATGCCTTAAACATTCTCGCTTTCGACGCGAGGCCGCCTTGCAAGACGTTTAAACCAGGGCTGAGACTTGCCACCGATCGGCACCGCAGAAAATGGAATAAAGAGTTCCATGCCCTGCAGAACCACTTCGGCGACAAGGCGGCGACGGAATCTGGAGCTTCCGGCGAAAAGCACATAGGCCCCCAAGGGTAGGACGCAAAGAAAGACCCATCCCGTCCCAATCTGCTGACTTATAGTGCCAAATACGGCGACAACCCACAAAGCGGGGCCGTGAAGGGCGCGTATGCACAGTACTCCGGACCACAAATGATCCGATGAACCCAATGGCGGGTCAACAGAGACCTGATAGTTCTCCGGATGTGAAGTCAGCAGAAGGTCCAACAAAGAGGGGTTTATGACCATCCACATCTGGTATTCGCGTAATCGCAGGGACCATTTGTGTCAGGTCGTAGGCTAAAGCAAAGTCGTGAAAGGATCTTCCCGCGTGATCGGTGGTCTCAGAGCCGAGCCAATCGGCATGGTGGGCGTTAAAATCGCCAAGTATCACGATTTCAGCGGTAGGAACCCTTTCGAGCAGGGAATCTGTAGCCATTTGGATGTGCTCAATGAGTCGGTCAGTTTCGGTATTTCCGCTATGGGACCTATACAGGCATGCGTAGAATCGCGGATGGTCATCGCAGTCAACGCGCAGCCAGAGGTTAGATAGGTCCCTTCCTTCAAGCGTCCCGAGGCGACGAGAACAGATATCCTCTCTGACGTACACGCAAACTCCCGCCCGCGGCACAAATGAATGTTCCAATTTGTACCCCGGGTAGGAGAGGTAGGAAGTATCAGCCGGGGAGGAAATCTGAGTCTCGGTAAGAAAAGCAAGGCCGACCATATTTATCGACCATAGCGATTCGTCTAAGCCAAAAATAAAGTGGTGTAAGGATTGGTTGCTGAAAAGATCGTAACTCACTCACAAAATTTAATGAAGGAATTGACTTTGGAGCCAACTGACTGGAAAATAATGCGATGATGAACCTACCTATTTTAAACTTTTGGAACTGGTGACTCCCTGATTCAGAAAAAAAAACTAAAGGGGAAGCTATAAGTCCTCATGTACACACACACATGTAGTGCCACTCTTCGATTCTTAGCTTCGGGCATGTCATATGAGGAGTTGAAATTTCCTACACTTACCTCTCCACAACGTTGGGAGTGATAATTTCCGATACATGTAAAGCTATTCTGCTCTTAAGGATTTATGAAATTAAGTAAAAATAACTGTTATATTTATGAATATTCTTATTATAAAAATCAAGTTACAATTATTTATTTATTTATTTACACTTTGTTGCTTTATGATATAAAAATTTAACAAAATTACAAGTAAAGGAAAGGCAACTGTCGGCCTTATCGCTTTCGAGCGATCTCATCCAGGCAACCACTGTGAGAAAAGAAAAAAGTAAATGTATTAAATTACATAAGGTAGGCAAAAAGTGCAAAAATACATGTATTACATATACTTGTAAAGAAAAAGAAACTAAACAGGAACAAAAAAAAACAAACTTAACTAATAAAGGATACATTAAAAAAAATTATACTAATAATAATAAAAAAGTGCACATGAACCATTTTAACGATGTCGACAGGTAATGATTGTTATTCAGTGAAATCATCGGCCTGATTTTTTGGTCTCTTGTTCTAATTGTATTAATTCGTCATAGTACCATAATTTTGGAACATGGATGTCATCTGTACCAGCTCCTGATTGCATTGATGCTTTAACGGTTAACCTGAAATAAATAAATAAATAATGTATTTATTGTTTTCTTTTTAACCCTATTGTGACGGTATTTACGACGAGAAGTCAATCAGTGTATGAATAAATTCCAACCTGTATATTAAATTATATTATATATACAAAGTATATATGTATATATTATATTATATACGAAGGATTAATTTAATATCGTTTGTTTATTAATAATTGGATTATTTTTTTATCCCACTCTCGGTCCGATAAACTACGACTCATTGGTCTAGTGGTTAGTACCCCTGACTGCGAATCCATGGGTCCCGGTTTCGATCCCCGGCTGAGACGACCATCGATGTGATGAGCATTTGGTGTTGTGCTTAGGTCTGGGTGCTTAAATATGTACTTTATATGTCTATCATAATATGTTTATATCCGTTGCCTAGTACCCATACCACAAGCTTCACCAGCTGGCATGGGACTAGATCAATTGGTGTGAATTGTCTAAAAAAATTGCGTACGCGTATTCAACAACGTAGTAGGTATGTCTAACGAATATGAACAGAAAACACGCAAAAATATTTAACCCCTCAACATTATTACACTACACACAACATTAAATAATAAACAGCTAGGTTATAAGTATAAGTACTTACTTTATTAAACTCTTTCCTGATGGGCTCTTAGTGCCTGAAGTTTCTTTTTACTGTGTCAATAGTGGCGTTAGGCGATTTGGTTTATAAAAACTTACAAACCTCTAAAAGCCCATTACATTCCGTACGAGTCGCGAGGCGAGGGACGAGGCGAGGGGCGAGGTGCGAGTGTGAACAGACGCTCGTGGCTCGCCTCGTCCTCCGGCGCTCGCGTCGGAGCGGTTTTGGGGCACGAGTCAAAGGACCTCGCGTCGCACGCGAGTGGGTATTCGCCCTCCGCTTTATTCTGGCTTCTACATCGTGCCGCGCAGGTTGTGTTTAGTTTTAAATACGCAAAAAAAAAAGCAGTAATCGTATAATGGATTGGTCGCAAGACGAAACATTTAAGTTCATAGACTTTCAAAAAGAACGAATAATTTGGGACCCTATACATAAAATTCTGAAACTCGCCAGACTTCATTCAGCTTTCTTGAAACATTTGTTCCATACTTTGCCTGAAATTAAAAGAGAAGCATTAAAAATAACTATACTACATATTGCAAATGCGATTCAGGGAGAACAGAAGCTCCGTAGGATTAACACACTTACAGGGTTCTATTGCGATGAATCGATATCATCCACCATCTTCTTGGGCGCCACCGCCGTTTCTTTACTACTTTCCTTTATTTAAATTAGTGACGTACAGTAAAGCCCAGTACGCACAAACTTGTTGCTGCTAAAACTTCGACGTCCTCGTTGCTAGCTCAAAGACGACTGAACTCGGCCGCGAGTGTAAACAGGCAACTCATTTACCATTTACATTTACGCTAGCCCCCCTCAGGTACCTTATTTTTTACTTTTGCGCAATAACGGTCAGCGCTAGAGTTTCGTGCCGCTACTTGTACCTATATTCTTGTCATTCTTCTTATCAGTGTTCACAACCTGAAGCCAGGCTTATCGTACCAGGGCCGTAAAATTATCGATATGTGATCCAACGATAAATTATGTACAGTCAGGAAAATGGCTAAAAATACTTTAAAAATCATATGAAACGTGAAAATAAAATGTTGCAAACGATATAGTTTAAATCTTGTAAACTTGTGTTTTTCAAATTGATCTCCGTCAAGAGGAACAAAAATATTTTCCTGAACATGGTGTTCGCTCTAAGTGATATACCTATTGTCCGTAAACATCGATATTATTTTTATCACTTAAAATTGTTAGGAAAAATGTTATCGAAGACTCAAATCGCGTCACCATACAAATCGTGAATTTGGCTGTTTCTGATGCGTTTTGTGTTTGTACATTAACGCTTTGTTCATCTCTGTAGTTGCCTTGTGACAGCATAAGTTCCTAATAGAAAAATAAGCCAATAGATGGCACTGACACAAAAAGTAATTGTTATTGGGCTATCTGTGAATCATCAAATTTTATAGACTGGAAATTATCGTACAATCTGCGTACATAGTCATGTACCATCGTACATCGTACGTAGTTATGAAATTATCGCAAATGTACGATAATTATCGTACGGTTGTGAACCCTGCTTCTTATATGTAATAAATATACTATGGTTGTATATATTATATACTATGGTTTACCTATTATCTGTATGAGGTATGCCCAATGTTAATTGTCATACTAATTTATGTCAGATAGACTGCTGAGTGCTGACTGATGACTGATCATTAATAAGTCATAGATGTCATGATTGACGATACCCCGCACTCCGCAGTCCGCAGTCCCCGTCCCTGTCACCGGTGCCGTAGTAACTATTTTTATTTTTGCAAAAGTCTAAACTTATATTTGTATTTATCTATACTTTACACTAAAATGAGTCCTGAAGAAACAATAGAAAATTTTAAAAAGATTGGTTTAAGTGAATTAAAAGCAAAAGAAACCCTTAAAAATGCCAATGTAACAAAATTTCTTCTACAAGTAATAAATGAGGTTAGAAAAACACCGCAACAGCAAATAAAAAAGAAGTATTTTTAATTTTATAAGTTATATAATTCTTAACACATATATTGGTTTAATTCTAGGTCGACGTAGATAAGTTGCAACCAGGTGTGGGTTTACTTTTGTACCATCTGGCTACTAAAATCAAACCACAAATTGCTGGTAAAATTTCCTTTATTTCTAAATACATAGTAGACGGAAAACTAGATTCAACATTAAGAATTGATGCTGCATTAGAATACGCTTTGAGCCATGTTAATGAAAAGAGTTTGAACAACAAGGAGTTTGAAGAGGCGTGTGGTGTTGGAATTGTAGTGACACCAGAACAAGTTGAACAATTTGTTGAGAAACATATGGCCAAATACAAAAATGAATTGATTGAGAAAAGATACAGATTCAACTCTGGGATTGTTATGCAAGCTGTCAGAGCTGACTTAAAATGGGCAGATGGGAAAGCAATTAAGAATGAAGTTGATGTTCAGGTAATTAAAGCTATATAAAAGATAACTCAAATTAAAAGTCTGATATTTAATATAGTTAATATTAAATGTAGGACATGCATAGAATGGTATATCATAGTTATATCAAAGAAATTTTTATGGTCATAAAATACTGAAAATCAATTTGACAACAGAATCACTAAGAATAAAAATAAAATTCCAGATATTGGATCTCTTGGGGCCTAAAACAGAGGCTGACCTAGCACCTCTACCTAAAGTGAAAAAAGAGGCAAAACCTAGTAATGAAGGTAATAAGAAGCCAAAAAAGGAAGAATCTCAGGGTGAGTTATGATTTTATTTAAAATAAATAAATCAGTATAACATGAAACAAAGTCAACTTCCATAGATAGAAAACCATGGTCTAGTCAGTGTATTTTTTTTATTATTCATGGTATTTCATACCTTGTACTATATAGTAGGTAATGCATAACCAGGCAGTTCTGGATTTGATTCCTAGTAAGTGTACATTAAAGAGAGATTTTATGATATTAAAAAGAGAAATTATATGATATTAAAAAAATAATTAATAAATCTCATTTATTATGAATTATTACAGGTACTAAAGTGACAACAGATGCAACTGATATTGGAGGAGCTGCCTCAATATCTGAATTAATGAAAAAATTACCATTCCATGCTCCTGGTGATAACTTTAAAACCGACGGCTATGTTGTTACTCCAAACACTAAGAAACTATTAGAGGAACATCTGAAAATAACTGGAGGGAAAGTACGTACGAGATTTCCACCTGAACCAAATGGTATTTTGCATATTGGCCATGCTAAGGCAATAAATATAAATTTTGGTTATGCTGCAGCACATGACGGTGTCTGCTTCTTAAGATACGATGATACAAATCCTGAGAAGGAAGAAGAAAAATTCTTTGTTGGTATCAAAGATATGGTTGAATGGCTAGGTAAGATATCTTTTCTATACTAAGGTGATAAACATTAGATGTTCTAATCTCAATAACTGGTTCTAATTGATTCTGTTAGTTACAGAATAATACAGTTGAAACCGCAGCACTGATATTTATAAATTCTGTTTTTTTGTTGTTCCATGAAGATGTTGTCTATCTTAAAATAATATGAATTTAAAATATTTACTATCACTAATATTTAATATTATATATTGCTTTGTAAACAACATGGGTTCTGGCTATGTACCCCAACACAGCTTCCCAAAAGATTGAATATTATATCCTCATTTCAGATTTAAAAAATAACTGAATATTATAATTTTAATATTATATATATTTATTCTTTTTAATATTTTTTTTTTATAATCACTTAATTTTATACTAACATTGCTAATTAAATTTTCAGGATACAAACCGTATAAAATAACACATTCGTCAGATTATTTCGACCAGTTGTATGAGTGGGCAGTGAAATTGATTAATAAGGATATGGCGTATGTCTGCCACCAAAAAGCAGAGGAAATAAAAGGCTTCAACCCACCTCCGTCGCCGTGGCGCAACCGACCTATTGAAGAGAGTCTCCAATTATTTGAGGTTATTATTTTTAAAGCTGATTATTTTAAATTTCCAAAGCTTTAGATAAGTGTTTCTATGAAATATAAAATCCGTTTTAAAAATGCCATCGTACGATCGTTTACACCACTTTGCAATATTCACAGAATTTACAATATTCCTAACCTACATAGTAATAATAATAAATAGAAAATTAAAAAAAAAAAAGTTTGGTCCCTGTGGCAGTGTACCTTTAAAACTGGCAGCATTTCCTTGCTGTATTGCGATACTGATTCGTTGAGTGATGAAAGTAGCAGCTCTAGGGTAACCAGTACTATCGACCAGGCGCCAACTTAAATCTTTAATTAGCGTCTGTGCACTTGAACCCCAGAATCTCTACTCCAAAGGGAACAAAATCGAAGTTGGAGGAAAGACTCTTCCGCCTGCTTTGCGGTAGCGCCAGCTTTGCTTGTTCGAGGGAGTTGAGACGGGGTTAAACATAACTTTAACATTGTTGTATTATTCTCAATATTTCCATTCTCATTACAGGATATGAAAAATGGAAAAATAGATGAGGGTGATGCGACTTTAAGAATGAAAATAACGTTGGAAGAGGGTAAACAGGATCCCGTGGCTTATAGAATAAAATTCTTGCCACATCATCGTACGGGCAACAAATGGTGTATTTATCCAACATATGATTATACACATTGTTTGTGTGACAGTATTGAGCATATAACACATTCTCTGTGTACCAAGGAGTTCCAGTCTAGAAGGTAAGAAGTAATTTTCAATTTATATAGATTATTATTTTTTCTGAATCAAGTCAGTTATTTTACATTATATAATTTGATTTTTGAATAGTTTATATTTTTGACTGCCATTTTTTGGGTTTATTTACAAATTAAAAAATTACTCGTTTTTTTGTAATTTTACCAGCAGACCCGGCCAAGCGTTGCTGTGGCTAAGGTTTTTGTTATATTACATACTAGTATATTCAAGGGAAACGGTAGGAGAACACAAGTCATGGGGACCACCATGCTTTTTTGGTGGTTATGCCATTAAATTGTAGCTTATGTGAAACGTTGGTACTTACAACTCAGCGCCATCTGTTAGAATTGTGACTGTCAAATAATAAACAAATAATTTGCAATAAAATAATTTTGCGGGTATTAATTGAGATGTAAGCTATCCTACCTTAGATCAAACTGCGGGCAAATTTGATTGAAATCGGTTTAGTAGTTTAATAGTCCATAGCGGACAAACAACGTGACGCGTAATTTAAATATATTAATATTTCATATACAGTACAGTAGGTGATCTTCTGTCTGTGATATTTTCCTTCAGCGAGCAGGTGTTAAATGAGCACATAGAAAGTCCATTGGTACACTGTTTGGACGCAACTTACGAGTAACACGTACGAGCGAGTTGGAAAGTAGCATCAGAGTTTCTTTTTGTTGTCACTTATTTTTTTCTGTCACTTCTTTTTTTTGTTGTCACTTCTTTTTTTTTGTTGTCACTTCTTTTTTTTGTTGTCACTTCTTTTTTTGTTGTCACTTGTCTGCTCACCAATCAGTTGAAACTGCAGCAGGTCGCCAGTATCAGTTCGACTGTTTTAAGCGCTACTTATGTTTCAATAGGCATTTTCCAATTTCTGACCATAATATTGTTGTCATATCACCTTTAACTTTGGTTTGTACTTCTTGCAGTCTCCGCTTAGAATTTTTTTTCCTAACTAGGTTTGCGACAAATGTTGCCTCTTCCATTGTACTCTTAATGCTAATCTAAAAATAATAATTAATTTACAATATTTCAGGTCATCCTACTACTGGTTATGTAATGCGTTGGATATCTATTGTCCTGTTCAATGGGAATATGGACGGCTCAATGTGAATTATACAGTTGTGTCCAAGAGGAAAATTGCAAAGTTGATTGACGAAGGATTTGTCAATGGTATGTTGTACCTACAATTATTAGTAGTTACTACATCTAGTTAGATGACACCGTGAACTTAATGACACCAACATAATATATTTGTGTCGAAACTTTTAAAACAGACCAAATAACTGAATAACATATACGGTAGAGATTTCTCTACACACTACTATATATACTATTGACATAATTTTATGATAAACATGATATTCTTAAGACATGTTTTTTAAGAATCTTTTTACCGACTTCTTTCACGTTTCACAATCTTTATTTGTGCAACCATCCTATACTCTGTGGTTCATGATTCTATAGTATATTAACTGTTATAGTCTGTGACTATGACCATCGAAAGTAATAAAAAAATGAACGAAATCAACCCCATAAATTTTTGATAAAAAATCTAATTGCTATGTCATCTGAATTTTCTAAATTTGACGTGTTACATATATCGACTTTTATTATTTTTAAAAAGAACTTTCGTAAAACTTAAATTCGCAGACCTGTGTAATCTATTGTACATGTACGTAAAATTTCGTAAGTGTTATATATATGTTTGCATGTATGTTCACAAAATTCTCGCATACTAAAAATCATATCATATTTTTTTATTTTAATAAAGTATGGAGATATGGGTCCACGCATTTCTTCAGACATGTTTTTATTGGTACTTATGTAAAGAGTGTTATAAGGTATTTAGATACATTTTCCAATAAAAAAAAAAATGCAAGTATTTTGTTTTCTCCTTTTCACACTTGAAATCGAACCCAATACAAACTTGGCTATAAATTAATCAGAAATTTTGAATTTCAGACTGGGACGACCCTCGTCTATTCACATTAACCGCGTTACGTCGCCGCGGGGTGCCATCAGCCGCTGTTAACGCGTTCTGTGCGGGTTTGGGTGTAACTGGCGCTGTGGGGGCCGTTGACCCGGCATTGTTGGATGCGGCTGTGAGGGACCATCTTAATACTTCTGCACCTAGGTATTTATTTTATTTATATACAAACATTTAGAAATTGGTGCCCTTATCGCTACTAAGCTATTTTTAAGCCAATTAGGGTTAATACGGACAGGAAAACAAAATAATTGTATGGTGCAAGAGTTCGAAACTGATTTTATAATACAAAAAATTATAATTACTTAGGCTTAGGTTGTCAAACATGTCAAACCTTATGCCTATGAAAGAAAACTTGGTTGTCAAATATGTCAAACCTAATGCTTTTAAAAGAAAACTTGGTTGTCAAATATGTCAAACCTTATGCGTTTGAAAGAAAAATTTGTTGCCAATTATGTCAAACCTTATGCTTTTAATAGAAAACTTGGATGTCAAATATGTCAAACCTTATGCTTTTAAAAGAAAACTTGGTTGTCAAATATGTCAAACCTTATGCATTTGAAAAAGAACTTGGTGGTCAAATATGTCAAACTCTACGCTTTTCAAATTAAACTTAGGTTGTAAAACTTCATGATTTTAAAAGTAATCTGAGTTGATCAAATATGTCCAAAGTCATATAACAAAAATTCTCTTTCACTTGAAACAAGATATTACTTTGGGGTTCTCAATTACCTAAATTAAAAGAATAATTTTTTGGCATCACTTATTTTTTTTTTCAGAACAATGGTAGTTCTAGACCCGCTAAAGATCACAATAACAAACTTCCCAAATGAAGCTATATCGGTGAAAGTACCCGACTTCCCAAACGAACCAGACAAGAGCTTCCATAACGTTGTCTTAGATAAAACATTATATATTGAAGCAAACGACTTCAAAGAACAACCAGAGAAGGGTTATAGAAGATTGACACCAAATCAAACAGTTGGCTTGCGACATGCTGGATTCATTATTAAGGTAAGATTTGTACTTAAGCAGATTCGGCCTGTCGGAGGCTGTGCACCCGTGGACGTAGAAACGTGCGCATATAACACGGTGAAGGAAAACATCGTGAGGAATGACTTTGGTCTTTACTGGATGGCAGGCACAGAAGAGTGATCACACTTGCTTATTAGAAGTCAAAGTCAAAAACATTTATTCATTTAACACAATGTACACTTAAGAACGTCAAAAAAAAACGAAGGGTTGCACTCCGGGAGTGCCGGCAGAAGTGAAAACTTGAATATTAACGTTGTGCATTTTTGATATTATGGAATGGTTAGGGAATAATTTTGAACGAATTGCTTTAATTATCAGTTTAAAAGTACTATCATTTATGTGGTAGAATAAAATATTTATTTATTGCGCTAACGTACACAAATATGAAAATTTATATTACATTAAATACGCCGCGCCAGCTGTCTACTCTCCATCCGTCTTACGAATTTTCGATCAGGTCACGTGTCCTGACGCGAGTTTAAAAATTTTTACCCATTCCAAAACAAGTGTACAACGCCGCTAAAGAAGTTTTCACTTCAAAAATAAACGAAAAAGACCTAAAAGGTTTTACCTTAAAGGCGCCACTAGTTTTTTTTTAATTTTATCTGAATTAAATAAAATGCACGGCAAATTGGTTCGGTTTTTTATAAGTCAATTTTTAGTTTTACGTGAAGGGACGACATTGGATATTGAACGGTCTATTTAGATTATGTGTGCCCACAAATTTTCCGAAAGGAGAAGTTTTGGTTTGAATCAGGTGAATACAAACTTAGGGAACAGTTCAAGTTTCATTAAAATTGGTGTAGTAGGTTCTGGATGGGATTTGGGGAAATGACAGGTATTTGGAGTTACATTAAATTTTTCTCATTTTCATGATACTATCTAGTCGTATCATACTTTCCGTATGATCCAAATCCAATAGATTTTTCTTGGGGTTTTTTACCATTAAATGTTGATTCTTAATTAAATAAATTATTATATTAGTCATGAATCGAAGTAAGACTGTACAAACTTAACATTGTAAACCAATCATAATAAATTATTGTAATGAATATCGACGCTTCGGTGTACGGAGAAATTGTATTTGTGTCGCACCGTCACATAATTATTTGTATTCTACTTTATTTTTTAATAAATAATATAAAAGTATTCATCACATACGTCGGGGGCCTTTAGGCCAGTCTTTGAGACTCTTAATCTTTTCTTTCACAAATAAAATACCCAAAGTATTGAATTTTTAATGTGTAACAGCTCTGATCAAAACCATTTTATTGGAAAAAAATCTTTCGAATTTCTTTAGGTGTCCAAAGTGATTAAAGACAACGGAAAAGTGATAGAAGTTGAATGTACTGCGGAGTCGACTGAGTCGGCAGAAAAACCGAAAGCTTTTATTCATTGGGTCTCACAACCGATAGCTGTTGAAGTCCGATTGTATGAACCTCTGTAAGTATTTTTTTAGATTTAAATACTTGTTGCTTCATCTAAATAATCAATTTTTTCCTGTGTAAAATCTATGTAGTGTTTGATCTTGTATGAGTTCTTGTGCTGTTCCCATCCTGCTATATATATTTGCTGTAATGTTTTACTTAGAGAGACACATTTTTCGTTTTGAGATTTGATACGTAAAACTCCTTAAATAAAAAAGCTTACCAATTCTTAAAAAGCCGGCAACGCACTTGCGAGGCTTCTGACAATGTGAGTAAACATTAGATGAGCCTCCTGTTTGCCCCCTGTTATATAAAAAACATAGAGATACTACTATTAATTATGTAAAAATGGTCTCAATAAATGTATTTTGATATACATCATATTATCTTTAAATGATAAAAAGGAAAACAAACAAACATATGAATAAAAATTAATAATATATTTTAGATTCAAGCATAAAAATCCAGAAGATCCCGTAGAAGTACCGGGAGGTTTCTTGTCCGACTGTCGCACGGATACGTTGAGTGTCGTACGCGCGTACGCAGACGCGTACTTAAAATGCGCTAAACCCCACGACAAGTTCCAGTTTGAGAGAATTGGATTCTTCTCTGTCGATTCGGACACTAATGCTTCAAATGTAAGTTTTCTTTAGGCATTTAATTTTAAATTAAAAATACATAGAATTTAATAATTGTCGTAATAGTGGTCGATAAAAATACTTTAATAAAATTTCTCTTATGACTAAGTAGTTTATAAATAAGAATATTTGTTTATATTCAAAAAAGATTTTTATAGAATTACAAAGTTAAAGTTAAGCTTTAAACTTAATTTTTTTTTTTTCCCAGATCGTTTTCAACAGAACCGTGTCGCTGAAAGAGGATAGTGGAAAGTAATAATGTTAATGGATGTACAATAAAGTTTTATTATATTTATACGAAATAAATTATTTGTTAAATAATAGTTTTTTTTATACCCGTAATAAATATTAAATGACATTTAATCGAGGTGTATTTTTAAATGAGCCTTCAGTTATACACTCGTAAAAATTTTAAATTCTAAACTTAATCAATTTATGTATATTAAAATTAGGAGGGGAAAATATTTTACCAATTGCCGTCTCTGGAATAATAATATATATTTAATTGGCAAACGTCCAATTAAACGCTATATATATATGAGTAACTGAAATTTAATAGGCGACAGAAACGCTTCGTAGCATTTACAACAGATATTTTACTTGGGAACTTCGAAATACCTAGTGGTGGGTTCCATATCTCGGCAAAAAATACCTTAAAGTCGCTTAGTTATGGAATAACCAACCAGGTGATGCGAGAATTAAGAAGAAATCGTATGTTGTCTAGGAGCGATACAACTCATTTTCTAATAATAATCTTTATAACTTGCCTTGAAGTGTAAGTCTTCTAACAAAATCGACCACTTCAACCTTTAATTAAAAATTTTAGCGTATTATAACAATGTTCAAACTCAAACTCGAAATAACTTTATTCATATAGGTAACCAAGTACACTTATGAATGTCAACAGAAAAGATGTTAAATTAATTTATTATTCCTATAGAGATTATTAAACAACTATAAGTGGGCTTATTTAACTAATTGTAACCTGAAGTTATGGTAGGCTGTACATTGTAGATCCTCAATAAATAAATACTGGTACGACTTAGTACGGTGTATTTCACATAGAGGGCGCCACATTACGGCCCTCAGGGCGCAAGGGCGGGCTTATCGAGCGTGGGCGGCGCGCAAGTCATTTCATAAACTACATTTGCACTACGCGGCATCTAAAATTCTAACCGCACGCGAGCGTAATGCCGCTAGTTAACTTGTAGGTAAGTCTTTAGCGATTAAGTTTATTTATACGTGCCATTTTTCTACAAATTTGACTTTCTATTTCCGTAATTGTCGATATGACATAGAACATTTAGATAATTCTAAAATTAATGCGATATATAGTTCGTGCGTAGACACTTATTGAAGTGTAAATCAAAAATATGTATACCTAAAACCATGACCTTGGTGTGCTAGCCGTATGCCGCTCATCTTTGATCTTCTCTAAGCATTTTATTTGCTTGTCAAATTGAGTTAAATACAGTCACGTCGTACATATCGCAACATTTATTTGTTCAAAGAATTAAAACTATTTTGAGAAAATTTACATAAATTGTTTGTAGTTCGATGTATACTTAATATAGCTTAAGAATATATCAATCTGCTTGTTACTTATATATATATATATAGCGTATATACTTGGTTATAAATATTATCTAATAACACAAAAGACATAAAAAACGTGATATTGTCTACAAAGTTGCCAAAAATTTCGGGTAAATCAATAACGCTTCTAACGAAATTGCTCTCATCTATTCCGCAAGGAATGAACGCCTAATTGATAAATTAATTGGCTTTCTTCGTCCACTTAATAAGAAATTGAAATATATACTTAGTATGAAAGGGGCTAAATTTGGGGCTAAAATTGGGGACTTTTTACCGGATTATTTTATTTATTATTAATAATTCAACAAACATTTCTGTTCATCAAATCACAAATTTATATACATTAAAATTATATTTTAATCAAAACAAAGCATTGATGAATTTCCGCCCATTATAAATACCATACCTAATTATATAACAAAATTCCACAGCACTAACTTATTTAGGTACAATAAATTCTGAAAAATTTGCTTATTATTCTTCTCTTGTAATGCGACTATAATAAATGTATTGAGTTTATTTGATTTTATAATGCTTTCTCACAAACACTAAACACAGACGTTTTTTTACGTCAGCGACACTTGGAGCTGCTTATCTTAGACTTACAGAACTTTTACTTTAAAAAGAAAGAAATTGGTTTATATAGTCCAATCAAGTCTTTGATACCACTTAATAGGGCCCTGATCAATTAAAACCGAAAAACATTTTTTATTGACGCATATTAAAACACAGATAAAACCATCCGGTAGCAAGTATATCTCTTATCTGCGTGCTTTGAAACCACAATTGCGATTACTCAAGTAGGGCAAAATTTGCATAGCATTTATATTTAGTTTAGGCAACTTTTCTACTATGAAGGACGTATATTTTTAGCTGATCTGAAATTTGTGATATGTAATCGACGGGGTATAACCAAAAGCAATGTTTCTAGTATAACTTACACCATATGTTTGACAAATGTTTATAATAATGTCTACTTCGAGGGAGTTGTTTCAAACCATTTGCTATCGTAACTTACGTTCGTTAAAATTTGACAGACACGTATGAACTTTAACGTCTGTTAACTTGTTAGCGTTGCTTCATTGTTAAAAAATGAGTTCGTCATTGTTAATGGGGTTGCCTGTTTGCGTAACGCTATTTTGACCCTAATGTTTTATGGGAATATTTTTAGTAATAACAACATTGATAAAAACAATGTCATTTGATACATTCTGTCAAGTTTGACATCAATGTTTATTGTTGTGTACGAAAGGATAATTTTAAAAAGTGTTTAATTTTAATATAAATAATGGGAACCTTTTCGCCAAAGTAAGTATAAACTATTATTTTATTATTATATTGCATGAATTGTATATGCGCAAAGTATATATATTATATTGAAGGATATAGTTAGAAGTGTATTTATTTACGTTACTCATTGACTTTCAGAGAACGTTCGGTAAATTTTGGAAAAGAAGAGAAGGAAGATTTAAATTTAATAGAAAAACATAAAATCTTATTTAATAAAAAGACAGACATTTCTAACAATTTGCAAAAAAAGAGGGCATGGAGTCGATTCATGCAGAATTTAATGCCCTTTCAGATAATAAATATGAAAAAGAAAATTTTTGAGTTGCGTGTTCAACATCTAAATGAGAAGAGGAAAACATGAAATCATTTTTAAACTACAAGAAAAAAAATTACTTACTATTAATTATACTAAAAGGATGTAAGATTGTTGAAACGCCATTCTAATGTAAAATGTATGAAAAGTGCACTTATTTACCTTTACAATAAAAAATAAACTTACTATAACTTGATTAGAATTACTTGAAACTTAGTATAAAATGCTCTTCAAAATAATTAAGCAGTTGTGTGTATCAATGTTATAAAATTAGTGTAAAAAATAATAAAAACTGTAAAAAAATAGATTTTTAAGATGAATTAATTCTTATGTGCATAGGCAGGCATAACTATGTAATGTTTTAATTCGGTAATAAAAAGCATATTATTTTTGTCAAACATTTTATTTCTCCACCAAAAGCATGCAATAGCAATATATTATGTTAATCCTTCACCATATTTCACATGCATACCATAAAATAGTTATAATCTGAAAATAAGACAGCTTTAAAATTATAATTTGAGATTTGTTTTCTTTGAAGTTAAAAATAATCTAAATATTAACATACCTTGCAAAATAATAATAATTAAACTATGTATATCACATATTAGTATTAAATTAAATTAAGAGAAAACTAGTTTTCTGTTTGTTGTCAATGAAGTTAACTTTTGGTCTAAATTAATAAAATCTGTAGCTGTATTCAGTTAGTAAAGGCTATTTTTTTGACAAATATTTTATTTCTTTACCAAAGCTGCAATAACATTAAACATATATATATCTTAGTCCTTCACCATACCACCCATACACCCATGCCATAAAAAGATATAATCTGAAATATAGGACATCTTTAATATTAAATTTGCAATTTATTTTTTTAAGTCAAAAATAATCGTAGTATTAACATACCTTGCAAAATAATTATTAATCAAACCTCTCTAATATTAAATTCAAGGAAACAGAGTTTAGGAAGTACGAACTACGAAGTTACAAACCAAAATTTGACGATTACCAATGGTTCAAGCACTGGTTAACGTAAGCGTAACTTTTTAACGAACGTAAGCTGTCATGGATGGTGAATCAACACTTTTTTTGTCTAACGTTCGTTAGCGCCATATTTAACGGTTACGTGTCCGTCAAAATTTGTTGATGCAACCCACCCTTAGAGGGAGTTGTTTAATTTTTATATTAAAACTAGCTGACCCGGCAAACGTTTGTTTTGCCATGTATATTATTTCTAGGAAACATTATTTTAGTTCAATAAAATAACTATCTACAATAATAAAATATAGGGGTTGATCGTAGAGGGATGAAAATTAAAGGTTGTATGTATTTTTTTATGCTGTATCATAAAAATATAAAAACCAAAAAAACTAAAAAATAAATTAAAAGTTTTTTGGGACACCCCTTATCACATAGGGGTTTGAAAGAGAGATAGTAGCTGATTCTCGGACTTACTCAATATGCATAAAAAATTTCATAAAAATCGGTCGAGCCGTTTCGGCGGAGTATGAGAACGAACATTGTGACACGAGAATTTTATATATTAGATACGTTTTCTAAAAGATCCGTAGGAAGCAAAGTATTTTTCTGTTCAACTTGACTTGACTTACTGTCCCGTAACCCCTAGATGGGGCTGAGGGCGTCCACAGTGAGTCTCCATCGCGTTCGGTCTTGAGTCTCGTATTTCACATCGCTCCAAGTCTCCGGCTTAGCCTCATCTGCAACTGTACGACGCTATGTTTGCTTGGGACGGCTTCCACTTTCCTTGCGGGTTCCAATCAAGCGCCTGATTGGGGATATAATTGGAATCTCTTCGGAGTTTGTCGCCTATTTCCACTTGCGTTGTTCTGCTGTTTTTGTACCAGACAACTCCTTACTATAACGAATATGTTCGATATAGAACCCAGCGGAGTTGAAGTAACAAACGTTCACGTTTATTACAATTTCAGATGGAATAAGTTAGCAATTAAAATTGCCTTTATTTTTTAGTTCAATACTCCAGAACGTCTAGCTGATTGGAGTAGTAGCATGAAGCATGCGCCTCTCAACAACAACGT